GTAGTTGCCTGAAACTTGCACCTGATCTAGGCAGGGGCGAATCTTCTGGTTGTGTCAAGATTAATCTGTCTCGACTGCTGAGCTGTACTAAGATTCTTGGACGCTGTGGGCATGGAAATGGTATATCGCACAAAAAATATGAAATGTACTTTTCAATCGGGACACTTTGCGGTTTACCGTTCACCATGCCATGCAGAAAAACTAGAAACTTTTCAAACGTGTCGAAAAACGGCCAGTGAGACAATATACATATAGATTTACTAATATTCAGTGATTGGCTTGCGGGATCCATATATTGCAACTTTTCTAGTTGCAATATACTGAGCTTCTTAAGTATACCAGATCTCTTGAACAATTTTATTTTCATCTGCTGCTTATTTTTGCTTATCATTTCTATATTATCTGCTGAAACAAAACGAAATATGTAACAAAACACAAGATATAAGAAAATATTTTTTACTCCATATTAATTATAACAATCAATAAGAAAATTAAGATTATGAAATACATGTGTACCATTATTTTTATTATTCTCGATGTTGTTATCACGATATATATATATGCGCGCGCGCGTAGTCATAATAAAATTGACATAGAAAAATGTAAATTGATTTACCTGGCAAATATTTGCGTTTTGACGAGCATGGCGTAAAATTTAGCGTGGGCTTTATCGCGAGTTCTCAAAAACGCTTGGAAATTAAATAAACTTGTCGAATCTGTTGTCCCTACGGTAGGTGCTTTTGTAATTGGTACCAAATAACTTCGATATCCTTTGAGAATCGTCGCCATAAATCTTAAGAAAGCATCCTGTATTTCGAGTTCTAAAGCTTGCTCTTTCCGTTTTTGTTGAAACTCTCTATCTACACTAAAATCTTCATCGCCTCTATCTAAAATATAAAAATAATAAATAAATATCGATAAAAAAAAAAGAAAAAAGATGGAAAAAATAAACTAATGCTAATATACCTTTTTGAGAACAATTAGTTTTTCCCCACGAAATTATTTTTGAGGACAAAATCTCCAACCAATTTCTGAGCTGTCTAGCTGCTTTTTTAGGTAATAATTTTACATTTAAATATTTTTTATCTTCACATATTGCTATATTATTGGTATCCAAGTTTACACAGTTGACATCAGAAGGAGGATCATATAAATCAAAGAATCTCGAATCCACACCAATCAGAAATGGTAATGGTGCATGCAATACCTGTAAATGTGTTTAAATCTTAATAATAATCTTTTCAAATTTTGTGCATTTGTATAACTATCAAAGCATTAAAAAGAAACAATATAAAAATGTGTATGTGTGTGTGTAATATGCATTACCTCTGCTAATCCTAGAGGACACAATGGTATGTAAGGACATTGCCATTTAAAAGGAAAGAGAATCATAGCAATAGCTTCGCTCACTGAAGTAAGTACATCCGGACGTAAGGAATGAACTAGTATTTTCTGTTCAGTTAATATTAATAATAGTATCAATAAACAATTGTCAGGTCCCAAGTTTATCAGTAGTTGCCTGAAACTTGCACCTGATCTAGGCAGGGGCGAATCTTCTGGTTGTGTCAAGATTAATCTGTCTCGACTGCTGAGCTGTACTAAGATTCTTGGACGCTGTGGGCATGGAAATGGTATATCGCACAAAAAATATGAAATGTACTTTTCAATCGGGACACTTTGCGGTTTACCGTTCACCATGCCATGCAGAAAAACTAGAAACTTTTCAAACGTGTCGAAAAACGGCCAGTGAGACAATATACATATAGATTTACTAATATTCAGTGATTGGCTTGCGGGATCCATATATTGCAACTTTTCTAGTTGCAATATACTGAGCTTCTTAAGTATACCAGATCTCTTGAACAATTTTATTTTCATCTGCTGCTTATTTTTGCTTATCATTTCTATATTATCTGCTGAAACAAAACGAAATATGTAACAAAACACAAGATATAAGAAAATATTTTTTACTCCATATTAATTATAACAATCAATAAGAAAATTAAGATTATGAAATACATGTGTACCATTATTTTTATTATTCTCGACTGTATCCATAATTTCTTGATTATTTTTACAGTTTGGAGTGTCTGATTCCAACTGCAGCTCCTCGTAAAACGTTATCGCTGAACCATACATTTTTTGAGCAGCATCGCCTGTTAAGACAAATGTCGAGAATACTGGTTTAGGTTTACATGCTACTTTAGGCCAACATTCTATAGTCGCACCCATCGGTAGACAAAACATGGCGACAGAATTCGGAAAGACAAAACTGTTATAATCAGCCATAGGATATTTATAGAGTATTGCAGGCTTAAATGATATCAAATTAGCGCGATTCATAGACTTTTTATAGCATAAAAATACATCGCTGCCTAGCATTCCTTTGTTCAAATTCTTATTGATGACACAAAATGCGTGTGGAGGGCTCTCCCCTTTATTTGCCAAGATAACGCATATGTCCGTAACGACAAGAGAATTGCAAGGCATCTTTTGAGTCGCTCGTCTGTACGTTACAAAAATTTTTGAAGTAGAATTATTTACGTTTGCTACATAGCCTTTAGGAGTCTCTAATACCATTTCAGCATCTTGCATTATACGTTCTTTTCCATCATATATTACACCTATGAAAAATAAAATATATAAATATATATATATATATAAAAGTATTTAGATCAAAATGTAGTAATATAAAAAGCAATTAATAATAACTTTATTATTTAGAGTTTGCTATATATATATATTGTTGCTTTTAATATTTGCTGCATAATTCTTAAAATTTATTGCTCTTTTTTTCCTTACCAATATCAACTAAGGGAGGTTTGTCCCGTCCTCTTCTGTAGCATAAATAACACTCGTTTGTTCGTAAGCTCCCATGATTCAAATCTGCTGGGAAACCTGATACAGTTTGTTCTAATAATGTATATCCCTCGGGACAATATTCCCCCAGAGCAGGAAATATTACGGCAAGATCTGTGATAGGAGGTGGCATGTGCATGTCTTTCAGATGAGTGCCTTCCTGGCACCAATCCTCTAGTTTATCGTTAGTTTCGTTATTATCTTGATTAAACTCATTGTCTTGACCGGGTAAACCAGCGATAACAAAATAATCCGCTACTCTTCTCTCGTCCATATTTTTTAACGTTGTGGACTATTATTGAAGCATGCAACAGCCTTCGGGTCAGACTTTATCGTCTGTACATCTCATGTCGCAGATATAATGGATATATTAATTTCAAATACTATTCCTGTACATGGCACTAAGTTGATTGTTCTTGAACCACTCTTGTATACGTGGCACTCAATATATAGCGTGCAATCTCTCGCGCAAGATTGACTGGCACGTTATAAAAAGTACTCTTCTTATGCCACAACAATCTGAATAGTTAACTTTCTACGTAACGTCTTACACATAATATTATTACATATGAAACATCATAATCTGCCAATACTGCACACACTTTCTCTCTCTCTCTCTCTCTCTCTCTCTGTCTTATGAGAGCTTATAATCTTATAAAAATATTTCAGCTATCCATTGGTACATGCCTCTGTCGCAATGGAGTGGAGTATTCTTTCGGCCTCGCTGTTATATTGCTTAAATATACAAATAAAAGTTGATCGGAGCGCGTCACTCAAGCAATGCTTATATGAATTTTTTATCGAATCAGTAAATCTCAGTAGTATCCTGCCGTATAAAAAAGCGACTTGATTATCGTTGAATTTTACTAGGAGCAAATGTAATATTTTGCGTAGTTTCAAGCGCGTCGTCGATTTCGTGCATCACTGACGTTTATGCGCTGCAAGCGAGTTCGATTTGTAAATAGAGAGAGCTCGCGGTGTGTACATACAATAAAATCTTGGTAGAGCGCCGGTTTAATCTCGCGAATTTCACTTTCCGTCAATCTTTGTCGAATCTGCCGACCGCCGTGGCGATCGCATTTTTCCTAAAATGAAAGAAGGGCGACTCGATTCCACCCGTGATTTTCTCTCTCGTACGATTTCTTCTCCTACGAAATGTAATCTTATAGGTTAGACGTCACACGCGACGATTATACACAAATACATTCCCGGTAACGTTGTCGCACGACTGGCATGACTGGCGAACGAGCCGTCGTGGCCGTCGTGATAATCGTTGTCGTCTGTCTCGCTCACGATATAAACACGAGTCTCTGATGTAATTGCGTTGTTGTCTTGCCGTGCAAAACGCGTTGTAGGACGAATTCGCGTGTAGTGTCAGATGGCCATACCTATAGTTTCTTTATGGATGGCAAAATGGCCGACGCAATCCGTATAATTATTATGCGTCTGTCTTAAATAAAAGTGTATTGGCCACGCTGCGATACATTACTGACGACTGACGACTCGTGTCTCGTGTGGACTCGTGACACTAATGCGTTCGTCATGCTCTGTTTTTTTCTTCTCCTTTTCTATTGAAAACATAAAGAGTCCCCCCGGGGTCATTTGAATAGCCGAGGATAAAGAGATGTAAATAAAGAGTTTCAAATGCACGATAGGCGCATTCCGATATTCACTGCCAATATTGAAAATCTATAGTGTACGTGACGTAAACTATAGATTTTCAGTAATGACAATGAATATCGGAACGCAGCCGGTGTCACGAGTGTCACGGGTGTCACGGGTGTCACGGGTCAATTGCTTATCGCGCGTTCGTCTAATGTCTTATTCGCATATTACTTCAGAGCCAATAAAAATGTTACAAAAGATATAAATTGATATTTTATACTCTAGAAATATATAAAATATGTGTGCATGAAAACTTGTTTTTTCAATATTCTCTAATAATAGCAAAAGTAAAATAAATTTGGCAAATTTATTTTTTTTTTTCCTAGTGTTTTTTTTTATAGATCTTTTCTATCCGCTTAACAATAATGTATTATTTAAAAATATGTATTTTAGTTGCATTTCTATATTTAGATAAAAAAAATATAAAAATGAACAAATGCTTATATATATAGTTAAATAGGAAACACGTTCATGTCAATTTAAATACTATATATCTTCTTTATTTTGTATCCGTTTTTTTAATACATGGACGAAATGCTTTGAATACAGTCTTTACAAGACATTGTTCCAACAAGGGACATATATCCTTATGAGCTTCGCTTAAAAGATCCATGGAATGTAAAATAGTATCTGTATCGATGCTTCCCACTACAAACATTTCAGAAATTTGGCCATGTTGCGGAAGAGCAGCTTGTATTATAATCCCATGATCATGAGCTGTGCCTGGTACAGATTTTGTATAACAAAAGGATTCTTCCGTGTCTGTTGGATCCACTAAATACGTATTACCGTATATGCCCTACCGAGCAACGAGAAATTTCTAGTTTTAAGTTATCATAAATTTGTTAAAATTAACATGCGATAATCTACTCACAACAGTGGACGCAGTGACTAGACCAAACATTGGCACACCGGCGTTTGCTAAAGCTAAACTAGCTGCCATTATCGCTGCAGCCAATGCAGAACCACCATTGTCAAGAACTGTTGCGTATACATCAACTTGGAAATTGGGAAACTCTTGCTGAAATAGAGTTGCATAACAGTGAGTAATTATAAACAAATTTTCAAATCGTACAGTAAGTTCTCGATTTTTCGAGTTCAAGATTTTTTTACGCATTGTTTTAAAAGTGTTTGAAAAAGACATTAAAAAATGCATACCAAACACACTGCTGGTTCCAGAGCTCTTTGCAATATTAAACTGTATTCTTTCTCTTCGGCATCTTGCTGATGCAGTTTCCGTTTGTGATGAGAAAAGGGTGCAAATTTGAATTCACAAAACAGTTCCCCTTGCACGCAATAACCACTTTTATTGGGCAATTCTCTAGGATCGAATACTGAACATATGACTTTGGTATTGCCCAATTCGATGTACGCAGAACCTTTAGCCTGACTAATTATACCTGTTTTTAAAACTGTTAACAAAAATTTCCTTTTAAATCTTCTCTTAAGACATCAGAAAATTCAACTTGTGGATATGAACCTAATTATAACTTCAATCACATAACCTTACATATATTTCTAAGCTCCTTGTTTGATCGTCCGTCGTGCCTTTTCGAAGCATTAGGTTGTATCCCCTTGTCCTTCACTTCGGAATGGATATAGATATTATACGGAACAGAAGCTTCTGGTCCGTTAATGCGTTTTTGATCAACCGGCATTATATAAGTATTGCAACAGCAAAGTATGCGTGTAAAAATAGAACAATGCGTTCTATATAGGGTGTTTCAGATTTAATTTCCTATAAATTTCTTGACTATTTGAAATAATCTGGAGTCAATTTTTCCTTAGTAAAGCTGTCCTTTGCAAGAGTTGTCAAATTATTTACTATATTTTAAATAACTTTTAAATTGTAAATCTATCAAAGAGAGTGCACTTATATCAAAAATTTAATAGAGAAAATATATTATCTTTTAAGATTTCTTGCTACATATGTTATATTATAAATATTCTCACATTTTTCTGATAAAAATTAGATAAAGAACTTTTTCAATCTCAATCGCTTAGAAATATCATCAGTTACTCCATATTTTTATTCAGGAAAAATCTAAATTGATCAAAAAATCTATAGATAGCGGATCGCTCGATAAGTAAGACACCCTATATATATGTCGTTGGCGGCAATTCATTTCAGGTAGTCGGATAATCAGTCATACAATAATATAGATATAATTTAGATTAATTATGATAAATGAATTATTTATGAATAAAATAATACAAATTTAATAAATTGAAAATCGGCATATTGCATATTTTTCTCATATTTTCCTTTTATTAGATAAGATAGATTAAAAATGTAACCAATTTTATTTTATATATATTAGAAACTTTGGAAACGGGGGTATGTAAAAGGGAAAAGATATTTTTATCATATCATGTGTATAAGATTAGTATAATCAGTTATTAGCTAATCAATGCTTTTTTTATTTTTTTGCGTTACTTTATATGCAGATAATAGATCAGTTTTTGATGTTGCAGCTTCATCTTTCAATGTAATTATTTTTTTATCTAATTCATTCATCTGCAAAAATAATTTATATATAACATTACTATTAAATATAAAGCAAATTAAATAAATTGGTAACTGAAGCTAACACACGACTCATATATACACATGCACAATTGTACTTACATATTTTTTTATTTGATACTTTTTATATAAATCATACATCTCATGTACCGTCCATTCTTTTTCGTCCTGCTTATTCAATTGTACAAATGAGCAGTTTGATTGATGTTTCACATGTTCATCCCTGCAAATCAAAACAGAATTTCAAAATGCTTGTTACAAAACGAAATAATATATAATGAAAGTGATAAAGAAATTATTTTATTGCATATGACTGACCATGGATCATCGTGTGCTTCCCAGCCATCGAGTTGTTTGCCACAAATAAAACATTCAACTAAATCTGGCTCATTAATGTCTCCGATAACATAAAATCCAGCAGTAACCATGCTTTTGGCATTACACTTGTCGGATGTTTTAAAAGGCCAATTGTTGAATGTCTTTATTCTGTTTTGCTTCCAAAAGAAAGACGTAGGATCTCTAAAGATAAAAATAAAAATCTAACCTAACCTAATTTTTTAGCAATTTCGTTTAGAAAACTTGCTGAAAGCTTATAGCATCTACAACTGCAAATTGTGATAGAATGCATTTTGAGTCTATGCAAATTACGAGTGGCAAAGATAAAGAAATATATATATGAGGTGTTTTGGTTTGCTTTTATTTCAAATGTCTTACTTATTTTAAAACATGTTGACACACACTTACGGTATTAGTAAATTGTCATTATCCATATTGCTCGAATAGCCTTGCCGCAATAAACAAAATGTGCAAAAAGTCCTTATATTTTATGGGCGATAAAAGTAATATTCACATATCTGATATTATCGCGGGAAATAAAACTGAAAATTTAAATTGTAATTCCTTTTATTTTTATTTACAATTGGCCGCGTTCGAAAACGCAAGTTTTCAAAACGCCAACCAATCGTTACGTGTGATATAGGCTGCGGTCGGGAAGACGCTAGGGATGCTTCAAAGGATTACATTTTACATTAACCAATCAGAATAAAGAAATTTTTATTTTTTTTGTAAAAAAAACGAACGCAAAAGAATGAACCGTAATAGAAATTTAAATTTGACCAATCAGAACAAAAGGATTTAAAATTTCTTTGTTCTGATTGGACAATTGATCGAACGCTATTCTGCTCGAAGAAGCGAATTTTAGAACACAACTTAGCCGATCGATCGGAAATCGGAGTTTGCGCGATGCTCATCCTACTCATTCGCGATATTGTGCTTTGTTGTGAAAACGATCAACTGTCAGAATCGCCAAGATTACGACAAAAGTCTCGTATCGGCGTACTATTCGTTTGTAAAACGAAGTAAGCGTCGGCTCGTTTGAAAAAATACATACTTGTACAATATACGAAATGCGTTCCTTTTGCGCGAATGTGACGAAATTGAAGGCGCGATGATCCCCAGCTGATCGCGGTTGTTCGCCGCCGCTGTGATTGTGCCGCTTGTGACTTCAACCAAACACACACTCGCATGTCTCCTTCGTGAACGATTAATAAATCCTGAGGAATTATTTCGAGTGGCAGGGTCGTAACATTGCGAAAGGGAATCGCGCGACGAGTTTACAGAGTGGTGAGAAACATCGCGAGGAATTGCTCGACGATTCATCGACAGCTCCGATTTCTTCATGACGGTGCTCTTGAGGAAAAAAATATCAACGAAATCCTCAAATGATAACCGTACGATTATTCTGTACGAAATATGAAGATGGCTTCCTTGGAGATTGACGACTTATTGACCGGACCCTTGGTTACTTGGGTAAGTTTATGGATTTCTTGAAAAGATATTTCAGATATTTGGATAAATTCGATCAGAAAATACAATCAGATTGTATATTTAAATATCGACGCGATTAAATTACATGACATGTTGATTGTACATTTTTGTCTCAATAGTTTGTTAGCTGCCTGGAAAATCCCAATGTTAATTATGAAGATTTAGTGGACGGTGTTTTGTTGCATAATGTCTTCCTGCAAATGTAAGTGTACGATAAAAAGATTGAATTGTTAGTTTGGCTTATATAGCATGTACACTTGCGATACATCAAGAAGATATTAAAATGGTATGATTTTCAAGAAAGACAAAATCTGTTTGTGTTATATTTATAGCAATCCAGAACCACTGCACGACGAAGTAGTGCCTTCTAATGGCAATCCTGTTATTCGTACGAAAAACTTGAAGACTATAGTACAAAATATGAAGCAATTTTACGAGGAGGAACTGGATCACTTGATTTTAAAATTACCCGATGTCACAAATTTAGGAAAGGAACCGGAATTGTATATAGCAGATATGAAATTGTTGCTATTGCTACTTCTTGGATGTGCTGTCCAATGTCCAAATAAGGAGAAGTTTATTACTAACATAAAAACCCTACATGTTGATACACAACTTGCGATAGTAGAGTGCATTAAACAGGTGCTGTATCCAAAATATCAGTAATAAAGTATTTTTAATCAAATTTATTTAATAACATAAAGATTTGTGATGTATAGGTGACGGATTATCAAGATATAGTCATTACACAAGATGCCATGGAAAATGCAAACATGGGTTTTCTATTTACCCAAATCAAAAAATGGATTCAAGAATTGGATTTATATCGAGAGGTATATTATTGTCTCAATTTTATAATTGCTTGTAACAAATGACTTTTTTATTCATGTTTTTAAGAAAGCATCTGTCTAATTGTTTATACAACATTACATACAACACAAAAACAGAAATGGAGAGATGCAGCGCTAGATGATAGCGTTGAACGAAATGATTCCTCCATCAGTGCAGAATCTGAGGAAATGAGTAAGATACAACAATCTCATCCTGTCGCTAAAGCAGAAAGAGAAGATAATCATCATTATGCCGTTGAATTGGCCGATTGGAAATCTAAAGTTCGGAAACAGCGCCAAGAATTGTATGTGTGTCTTTCAAATTCTTTTCTTCTCATTATAGGGCTAATTTAGTAAATTGTGGTACAATTGACAAGAAAATAATTTCTCGTGAAAAATGTACGAAAAGATGTAGAATGAGTATTTTCTTACATTAAATGTTTCTTTCGAAATAGATAATTTTCAATACAAAAGTGTATGGATTGTTATTTGATTGTGCATTGATGTAACCAAATTATACGTATCTATTGATTAAATAATATTCTTGTTATATGTAATTATAATAATAATTAATAAAAATAATTTGTTTTATAAATAAAGTATGCAATAGCTATATTTATACTATTTATACTTTTGTAACAAAATTAAGAAAATTTGTTCAATATTTTTGCACGAGTCATCCCGCCGATTTATAACTTTATTGCACTTTATTAGATGTTCTATACTGTAACTTTTTCAATACTTGGATAATAATTTTGCAGGGAGGAAAAAACGGAAGCCTTACTCGAATGTAAGGAAGAATTGGAGCATAATAAAACATTGCTTATAAAATTAAGACAAGAGGTAATGCATATTAAGTAATATTTTTATAGTAGAGAGGAGTTTATCTATAAGATATATAATTTTAGCACCAAGAACTGATGCATGAAGCTCGTACTGCCAAATCCTACAGGGATGAATTGGATGCTGTGATTGAAAGAGCAGATAGAGCGGATCGTTTAGAAATAGAAGTAGCACGGTATAGAGAAAAACTCACAGATATTGAATTTTATAAAACTCGGATAGAAGAGTTACGTGAAGACAATAGGTAATATATTTTTTATTTTTATATGATACTTTAATAATATAATAAGTAGAACAATTGCTACAAATCAATACAATTTATTATACTTTAATAATAACTCTTATTTAATATATTTAAGAGTTTTAATGGAGACCAGAGAAATGCTCGAGGAACAATTAAGCTTATCAAGAAATAGAGCAGACAAAGTATTGGAACTCGAATCTGAAATCATTAAATATAAGCAGTTACTTAATGATATGGCATTGGTAAGAAATTTCAAGAGTTTTGCAATATTATACCTAAGAAAGAGCACATTAAGGAATTAGTCAAGAATTGGATTTATATCGAGAGGTATATTATTGTCTCAATTTTATAATTGCTTGTAACAAATGACTTTTTTATTCATGTTTTTAAGAAAGCATCTGTCTAATTGTTTATACAACATTACATACAACACAAAAACAGAAATGGAGAGATGCAGCGCTAGATGATAGCGTTGAACGAAATGATTCCTCCATCAGTGCAGAATCTGAGGAAATGAGTAAGATACAACAATCTCATCCTGTCGCTAAAGCAGAAAGAGAAGATAATCATCATTATGCCGTTGAATTGGCCGATTGGAAATCTAAAGTTCGGAAACAGCGCCAAGAATTGTATGTGTGTCTTTCAAATTCTTTTCTTCTCATTATAGGGCTAATTTAGTAAATTGTGGTACAATTGACAAGAAAATAATTTCTCGTGAAAAATGTACGAAAAGATGTAGAATGAGTATTTTCTTACATTAAATGTTTCTTTCGAAATAGATAATTTTCAATACAAAAGTGTATGGATTGTTATTTGATTGTGCATTGATGTAACCAAATTATACGTATCTATTGATTAAATAATATTCTTGTTATATGTAATTATAATAATAATTAATAAAAATAATTTGTTTTATAAATAAAGTATGCAATAGCTATATTTATACTATTTATACTTTTGTAACAAAATTAAGAAAATTTGTTCAATATTTTTGCACGAGTCATCCCGCCGATTTATAACTTTATTGCACTTTATTAGATGTTCTATACTGTAACTTTTTCAATACTTGGATAATAATTTTGCAGGGAGGAAAAAACGGAAGCCTTACTCGAATGTAAGGAAGAATTGGAGCATAATAAAACATTGCTTATAAAATTAAGACAAGAGGTAATGCATATTAAGTAATATTTTTATAGTAGAGAGGAGTTTATCTATAAGATATATAATTTTAGCACCAAGAACTGATGCATGAAGCTCGTACTGCCAAATCCTACAGGGATGAATTGGATGCTGTGATTGAAAGAGCAGATAGAGCGGATCGTTTAGAAATAGAAGTAGCACGGTATAGAGAAAAACTCACAGATATTGAATTTTATAAAACTCGGATAGAAGAGTTACGTGAAGACAATAGGTAATATATTTTTTATTTTTATATGATACTTTAATAATATAATAAGTAGAACAATTGCTACAAATCAATACAATTTATTATACTTTAATAATAACTCTTATTTAATATATTTAAGAGTTTTAATGGAGACCAGAGAAATGCTCGAGGAACAATTAAGCTTATCAAGAAATAGAGCAGACAAAGTATTGGAACTCGAATCTGAAATCATTAAATATAAGCAGTTACTTAATGATATGGCATTGGTAAGAAATTTCAAGAGTTTTGCAATATTATACCTAAGAAAGAGCACATTAAGGAATTAGAGCAAATTAAAAATAATTTTTTCAGGAACGTGCTGCTGACAAAGAAAAATATCAAGAACTTGTTGAGGAAAATACACAATTGCATCAATTAACAAAAGCTGCTGCTAGCGAAGCCGCATTAACAGGATCTAGTGATTCCGAAGAACCAGGTGATCTATCAAATTCTGCATCTTGAGATATATTATAGAGTAACACAATATCTTTTTATTATTATTATTATTATTATTATTAATAAATAAGACTAAATGTGATTAATTTATTTAGTACATGATGATAATAGACTGTCTGAACAACTAACGAGTAATGCTCAGACGCGAGCATTAAAATTAGAGTTGGAAAATCGTCGTTTAAACACTTTGATCGATTCATTGAAAGAAAGTTCCTTTTACGAAAATTCATCTCGCATTTTGGAGTTGGAAAAAGAGATAAAGAAGCTTTCATTGAAGATTGAATCATTGAATGATAATAAAGAAAGACTTATGCAACAAAATACCGATTTGGAATTGGTCTGCAAG